CACACACACACACACACACACACACACACACACACACACACACACACACATACACACACACACACACACACACACATTTGCAACTGAAATCCTCACACGTTGCTCAGAAATATTCTCATGGAATATTCTGAAATATGTTCATGTAATATATTAACATCAATGTTTCCGCAGTGTGTATGAGTGTGTTTTAGAAGAAGAAGAAGAAGAAGAAGAAAACCTTTATTAGTCTCGCAATGGAGAAATTCCCAATTCACAGCAGCAAAGTTATGAAAGGAAGAAGTAGAACAACAAAATATAGGAGCTGTTGGAAAGGCAGCCACTCTCGCAGCGCCAATCTGAAGTCAAAATAACAAAAATAACACAATACAACACATAGGACACAAGACGGTCGAGCAATCTTCACCACTTTTCTGCATACACTTTGTTGTCCGAAGCAGTTATAAATGAAAGAGGAGAGGATCAAAGTGTCCTTTCACCAGTGTTGCATGTACGAGAAGATTTCAAAAGCTGAATGTGTTTCAATAGTGTGTACCAGGGTAATAATAATTTTGGATTTTTCATTATTGTTAGTTTTTATTTTGTTTTGACTTTTTAAATGTAGTTTCAATGAGTTTGTTTGGTTTGTTAATTTTTGTTTTATTTTTTATTTTTCAGAAATGCTTCATTTTACTTATGTTTTCATTAGTTTTAGTTTATCTTTTTTAAATTATTTGTATTATTTTTTAATGTATGCAGTATTTGCTGAGTGCAAGATTTTAAAAAAAGAAAAGGTCGCAAAATGTGATGTAATAAAGTACACTCCAAACAAGTCTTCTTCTGGACAGACGCACTGCAATACAAAAATGAATGCATTTAAAATGAACCCTGAACGCTTATTAATGAGATCAGTTGACAGACATAAATGAAGGGCATTTTAACTATAGTTGCACAGTAGTTGTTTTTAGTTCATTTTAATAACGTAAGATGTCGTTTCATTAGTTTTCTTCCTATTTTATTTCGTTTAATGTAATAACATTGGCGTGTACACATTTTCAGCACTGTTTCTTGACAAAACTAATCAAGCAAAAGCAACGTCATCGATTTCAGCCGTGAACCCACGTAAGTGAATACCTCGGCCGCGAGTGCGCGATCACGTGTGCCGACGTCAGAATACGATGCGGAAATCAAGGCACGAAACCCGAGGACGCGGCTTTCATGTTGTCTCATCGCTGTCATTTGTCTGCTGCATGCGTCCTTGAGCGAGAACAATTAAAGTAAACGATTGCTCAGCTGTCACATGCGGCAGCGGACCCGTCAGGAAGATGCCGTATATAACTATCAGTGGAAACGCTGCCTTATTCGTGACAAACATATGTTAGAGTTGAGACAAGTGAACAGGCGCAAGAATACCACGTTTCCAAGGCAACGAGACGCCAAACGATTCAGCGAATCAGTGCGAGGCCCTTTTCCTTTGCGTCCAAAATGAATTCTAAGTAAGAAAACCAACTTGACCAACATCATGGTGTGATTTTTTTTGGTGATTTGAAGTGCAAGTGCATGTTTTGGTTTTTTTGCACTTCTGTTGGGATTGAAAAGCGCCATTGAACGTCATTATTCCAATTGATGCTGAACGAGCTCACCCTAGCTAACGTCGGAAAAGTTGATGTGCTGGGTTTTGTTTCCATCTCTACTAGAAATCTCAAAGGTCTTAAGAGTCCCGACGTTCAACCGGAGAAATCTGGCAAGTACAACGATTGATACGAGTTTAGCATACGTCACGCACGAACATCCGTTGCGTGTGTTGCCTTCAGGGACACCATTCACCCAGTGGGAAAATGCCGCGATTTGCCATCTGACATTACTTGATAGGTAGCAATGTTTTCAATCAACTCTTTGTTGTCAGTTTGCATATGTGTACGTGTGTGTTTTAACATCGCAGGTGGTAAAAAGGGATTCCATGGAACAAAAGGCCAGATCTCCCAAATCCCTGGACTGTCCCCAGTTATCAGCACAGTCGGTGACGTGACGAAGATAGGGAAAAGGGTTGGAGTTGTTGACACAGATTCGGAATACGTCAAGCTTGCAAAACAAGGGGGCCACAAAGGTACTGCCATCTTGCTGTATTCCAGATTTATATGGCAGATTTCGGGCGGCATGACTGCTGAGCAGACCGGCCTCACAAAGCAGAGGTGCAGGGTTCGATAACGGCTCCTGCCTTCCTCTGTGGAGTTTGCATGTTCGTCTGTGCCTGCGTGGGTTTTCTGCGGGTACTCCAGTTTCCTCCCACATTCCAAAAACATGCATGGCAGGCTAATAAAGCGCTCAAAATTGCCCCGAGGTGTGAGTGTGAGCGTGGATAGTTGCCCATTTATGTGTGCCCTGCAATTAGCTGGCAACCAGTCCAAGGTGTACCCTGAAGACTGCTGGGATAGGCTTACCCTTGTGAGGATAAGTGGTCTTGCAAATGGATGGATGGATGGCAGATTTCTGCACGATTAGTACCATTAGTCAAGCGATAGCTCTTAACTCGTCGTGGTCGTATATGAGCATATGGACAGTCACTGGTCATACTATTTGCATGTAGTTGTGAACTTGAGCACAGTTTTGTCTCACTAGTAACATGTGTTCCACAGGGCTTCTGTACTTTGATGAAACACCTACATCCAAGCCCAACTCGTTCGACGCTGCAGATTCCCTGTTGGACGGTCCAATAGATGCTCTTGGTAACCAAAGGTGCATGTTGACACGTGAAGATACTTTCAACCAACCAGGAATTACCCTGTTCATTTTGGGTCTGATAGTTTTAATATCAATAGCTTATTCTGCTTTTAACCCATTAGTGTCATTTGCACAAAAGAGAGGAAGAGCCCAAGAGCTTTCTCACAAAGGCCACTACCTCCTTTTTGGACAGACAATATGTCTGCATGGGAGCGGGATGATGGCAGCCCTCGCAAGGAGAAGGTAAATATCGTTGCACACACACCATAAGAAACTAATATAGAACAGCAATCAAGTAAATACACTGTACAGTGGTGATGTCATTAATGAGGCAGTTTGCTGACAAGGAATAAATTAGCAACTGTCCATAATGACAGAGGCAGATCAACATCAGATTTCAAGCATATGTTTTGGTTGCGCCACATTGGAAAGACACTTGAAGTCAAAAGATAAATTATTTCAATCATATCAAAATCAGGTACCACAAATAGGAGTTATAATTGGGCGCGGGGGAAACAATGGATGATCAAATACAATAATTTTTCCTAACAATGAGCCATTAAGACATTGTGACTTAATGTTTTGCAGAAAACCGTTCCTGAGAAACAGTTGGTGCAATGGCAGGCGTCTAGTCAAAACAATGGAGGAAGCAAATTCAGGAGGACGTAGGATTTTTTTTTTTTTGTGCACAAGAGGGCGCTGTTATATTATAACTGAATTTATTGTTACAAAAACAGCGGTCCTATCTATGGATAATAAAGGCACTTGAATAGTCCAAAACTGAAATATTGTAAATTATGAGTGTCTCATTCTAATAGAGCATTAACTTAAACGGTCTGCAAAGGCCTCCTGGGCCTTAAGTTGTCCCTAAATTTGGTTTAGTATCAATCAAAGACTGCTGACATGACAGATGCCCAGAAGACAGTCTGACACCTGCCATCAGGAAGACAAGTCATAAAAGGTTATTGCTCAAAAAGGTGGACGTTTTGTAGTTCTGTTTCCCTTAACCAGTAGATTTGATTTTTAAAACATGACACACAGTTGATGCAGACAATGGTTGTATGTTGTGATATTTGAGGCTGATGACTGACACAGTTCAGGAACAAACTGAATGGCGATCCGGTCCCACAAACGTAGACACAAACAAAACATGCAAACCAACCAGGAAAACAATACATTAACAAAAAGCACTTGCGAAGGCAAGGAAAAAGAAAATCTGAGATGCAAACGATATGACGAGTCTGAATTCACGAAATCAAAAACATGAGCAAGATTAAAGACAAAACACATAAATACAGACAAAGCAAGAAGCTTGAGCGCAAAAACGACAAATGACGAGATCGAGAGGTCTAGAAAACAACACTTGAGTAAGAGCAGCAACAAGGTCAATAATGCGACAGATTTGGCAATTACGAAGTCATTAAATACATGGCTAACTTGATGAACATATTGGCAGCAGGTGGGCACGCTGCAGGGAAATCCTTCCTCTGCCACCTGCTGGAGACACACAGGAACAGGATCATGACAATGACATTCGACATAAAATCCACAAATGATCCAGTAGGAAATCACCATCACGAAAAACACATTTGAAGTTGATCGAAAAATGGAATGATGTAAAAACTACCTACTAACTCTGTCACTCTCTTCAGTCGTGACATTTTATAGAATCGGCTCCAGTGCTCTCGTCAGAAAATATAATTGCTGTACCAAAGTAATTTTTTTCCCACCCTCACAGTGTATCTACCAAGAACACCTCTCCAGTCAACATGTCGAAGCTATTGAGTTTCGGTTATGTCGACGACGACAAACTAACGACGAGTGAGACTGAGTCAAGTGCTACATAATTGTCCAGCTCACTTAGAGTTTAAAGTCATTTTAATAATTATAATGTAAAGGCATTTATTTTTTAATCATGTTCTTGCTTTTTCATATGCATCTGACTCTCAGAGTTATTAAAAAGACTTGAAACCAAACTGAAGCAATATTTTGCCACTTGCACAACAGTGACATACCATGAGAGCAGTGGTTCTTAACCTGGGTTTGATCGAACCCCATGGGTTCGGTGAATCGGTCTCAGGGGTTCTACTTTTTTTTAATTTCAGACATCTAAATATTATATTATTATATAGGGCTCACTCAAGGTCACAAAGACGTTTCGCAAACAGCTGTCAAAGGTTGCAAACAGTTTCTCGTTGCAAAGAAATTTTGAATATGTTCATGTTACGCGTCGGCAAAGGGTAGGTAGGGTCTGAAAATGGCCGGCTGAATGATGGAGTTTAAACATGTAAATATGGTACACTAGAGAAACAACACAGTAATGTAATGCTCAGGTTGCCGTAATTTGAATCAATGGTGGGGAAGAGGTTGCCTTGGCCAACTAAACGGTTTTCAACGTTTAATATTTGGATGATTTATTCATTACTGTTTACGCGCAAGGGCGGCCCTGTGCTCCAGTGGTTAGCGCGTCGGCCTCACGGTGCAGAGGTGAAAGGTTCGATTCCGGCTCAGCCCTTCCTCTGTGGAGTTTGCATGTTCTCCCCGGGCCCACATGGGTTTTCTCCGGGTACTCCAGTTTACTCCCACATTCCAAAAACATGTGTGGCAGGTTAATGGAACACTTTAAATTGTCATTGGGTGTGATTGTGAGCACAAATGGTTGTTGGCTATGTATGGCCTGTGATTGGCTAGCAACCAGTTCAGGGTGTCCCCCGCCTACTGCCCGGAGATGGCTCGGATTGGCTCCAGCACTCCCCGCGACCCTTGTGAGGATGAGCGGATCAGAAAATGGATGGATGTTTATGTCCGAGTTGTCGCTTGTGAAGTTCTGAAAGTGTAATTTGGGCATCTGCATATGATGGGGCCGTCAGGGACATGATTCAGGTTTACCTGTCATGCAAACTACTCGTGCAATGCATCATTCAGTAAATTATTCAAACGGATTTCACTTTGATGTGTAAAAATCTGTATTATGTGTGAGTATTTTAGTAATGTGTACGTGTCCGTGACAGCCTCTCATATCTGCACATGCGTTTTTCACTAAGCAAGGTGCTTGCTTATGTTCCACCAGTGTAAACACAGCCATGTCCGATACGTGAAACATAGTGTATATGTAATTCGATAATTCAAAAAAATAGGATCTGATGCATGAAATCGGAAATGGACACTTACAGTGTCAATCCAATCGAAGACACCTGAGAACTTTTAAGTGGAGCATATCGTTCCAAATGTCAGGCTTTCCTCATGAAGTTTGGTGGCCAGTTAATGTAGCAAGTTAAGAAATAAAGACAGTTTACAATGATAATTAAAAAAAAAAACAAAAAACAATTGGATTTATTGAGGAGCAAAGTGGTGAGACAGCATAAGTTAGACTGTACAATGAAAGCTTTATGAAAAAAAAAAACATCACAGGAGAAGCCTATTACAATTATTTGATATAAGAGGACATCAGACGGCCAGTGTAACATTTTAGAAAAACTACAAAAGCTTTGTGAAAATCTGAATTAGCAAAAAGAGGCACAAAACATGAGTATTTGGGCAAGTTACATTTCTTTGTTGACACTGTTACACTTTGCTCTCACAAGAGCTGAAAAACCAAAACAAACCAGCATGTTCAACTTAGTCTGGAATTACATGTGAGACTCCGAGACAGATTTGGCACAAGTCACCATGAGAAATAAGGAATGTTGGAAGGCAAGACTGCTTCTCTGGCTTCCAGCGATGTCTTATGGGGTTATGCGTACGTGCGTGCGGTGGGTTTGGTTCGAGGCCGCCCGAGGACTCGGCGTGCTTCAAGAAAAGCACGTTGCGCCTCTCAAAATTCCGATTTCATCCATGATTCAAGTTGAGAGCATACACTCATGAGCACAAGCGAAATACTGTGCTGCTCCTAGCACCGCCGCCGGTTCTTGTTTAGACATTGGTTAAGGGAAAACGGATGCCAAACAGAATGTGGCTATTATGAATGCGGTTTTATCATGAAACACGTCCTGGTTTATTTAGTCCATAAATTAAGTTGTAAGGCCTTAAATCCCATGCCTTCAAAACAGGTTTTTAAATAACATTTTATATATATAAAATAGCATTAGTTTTCCCCCGGTCAAATGCCCAGCCCTTAAAGTTTGTTCCGCATGAACAATTGCTGTCTGAGCGTGTCGGCCTGTTCTGGTATGATGTCATCCTTTGTGTCAAGTGTTGGCGAAACGACAAGTTTCTTCCGTGCTTGTCTCGACGCCTACGAAGTGGTCAGCCATATACAGTATTAGGACAGGCATAATTATACAGTATCGATGCTATTGAACAGAACTTCATTCTTTTAGGTGTCTGGAATCAAAACAGCCATGCGATTTAACTAACGCACACTTAACGTCCATGCATATCTTGTATCAGTCAAGAATCTTGTGGTTCTGGTCCCCAATAAGTTAGTTAGCCAGGCAAGATGAGAAATGCCATGGAGAGAAAACGGAAACGATCAGAAAAATGTATCTATCTCGTGAAGACCTAAGGATACGATTCCTGGCACTTTTATATGAGCCCTCATCCCTTGAATGTGTGCCAACGTGTTTTGAAAAGACGCAGTCCCATTCAGGATACGGCGGACTTACACCTTGAAGCAGTTGAGAAAAAAACGTTGAACTGACAGCTACCAAGGAAATCGTGGTTATGATGGCCCACACGTGCACATGAACGCTACTCTATCTTTTTTTTTCCGCTTTACAATTAGTTTATGCTTCATTTTCCTCAAAATCAGTCAAGGAAAACTAATTAAATGCCCTTTCCTAGTTTTTATTGAACTAGTTTTATCATAGTTCCTTCATTGTCCTATACAAGAAATGTAAACGTGGTTGAATCTGTTTACATCTTCAAATCCTACCAAATTGGACCCAAAGATGAGATTCCGATCACAAGTGACAATAAAAAGTGCCAGTCCTAGCAAGCGTTACATACAATACATCTAGCTTTTAAGACGTGTTAGCATTTTTCTCACAAATGCCACTTTATTTCTGGCTTCCAAGCAATTTGAAGACTCCAATCTTTTCATCGCGTCTTCTGGGCCTAGTTGTACCGTCAAGCAAACTATTTGCTTGGCTCTTCTAATATCCTCATGGAAGCGCTCCGGTTGAAAACAACATTTTGTACGTCAGCTAACGTGCATGGTCAACAACAACGGCTGAAGAGAACAAACGGAAAGGACCAAACTGGATCATTGAATTATTAAAACAAAACAAAAAAAAAACATTAACAACTTGCAATAAATTCTTTCACAAGTAACGCGGAGTTACTGGACGATGTGCAGCCACGTTTGTTGATGCGTGGATGCAAATGTTAAACGGTGTTACTTATCTCATGGTGTGTGCTGTCATGCATGTTAATTTGCCGTTCTTCCGAAATACGACCGTTTAGATGAGAGAATGATGACACAACAGACGCTGACGCAGAATGAGACAACATTTAACGGTAAAACAGCGGAACCTCGATTCACAATGAAATATAAGACGTCACTTTAATCCTAACGGAACTGTTAAAGACTCACCATCATCATCATCATCATCATCATCATCAGATGGCACCTCAAAACTAAACTTCAGGTGCCAATATTTAAGACATGACCAAACATATTTACAACGTGGATGCTTGCTTGTATGGGCTTCTCGAAATGTTGGCAGCGAGAGAAGGGGGGGGGGGGGGTCATGACCAGACAGATAAGCTGCTCATTTGGTAACACACATCCTGGCTTTCAGCCTTTGGTTTCCAACTTGGGATGCATGCAAGGGAATCAAGATTTAAAAGGGCTAAAATGAAAAATGATCACCCCCCCCCCCCCAAAAAAAAAAAAACAATCAATGACAGCACCTCTGCAATTTCACTCCGTTTTTAAATAATTAGTTCTTCACACAAGATTATATGACCTTAATTCTCAGTACCAAATACAACACAATCCAATGCTCCAAGCTGCGTCTTGTGCATTGTATTTTCACAAACATCTTTTGATGATAACATTCACGTGGGGATTGGATTTGTTTCGCCCAAGATTCAAAGTGAAGCACAAATTGACATTAGTGACTGGTTAACCCCTAGATTTAAAATAAAGCATCTTATATTCACTACATCACATTCATAGTTTTGATCACAAGGTTAACTCGTCGCAGTTGGACCTCCAAAAATCAATCAAATTGTGTTCAAAGTTGCATAAATGGATCGTTTGATAAAAGATTTTATGATAGTGGTAGATTCAGTCGGATTAGATTTTTAACATTTAAACAAATTCGAATGGAAGGCATTTGACTTTGGAGGGTCTACTTTATTTCAAACTGACAAAGCTGCACACTTTAGGCTTGGCTGTTCACACCTCATGTGGAAACTTCATCTTCATCCAGTTGAAGAACATGGCAGGGGTCGCTTTCATCTCGCATCTCGTTTAACATCGTGGCCGACATTTTGAAAAGGTCAGACAGATGTTGAAAAGCTACAATTGAGCTCATTTAAGGAACAAGAGCCCACGTGACCCAAAGGGATGCGACTGAGCCAGAGCTGCAGCGAGCAAGTTTTTCCTCAAGCCATGTTTACCTTTTGTACTATATAGACAGCCCAGAAAAAAACAAGGTCTTGGTTCTTAAAAGCCATGTCATTGGTCCCTAAAAAAAAAAAAAAAAAAACGTCACAAGACATGAGACATGCTTGTTTCCAAGTCATATGTGCATATTAAGTGGCCAGATGCAGAACGGGTGAATGCAAAGGCCGAACATAAGAGACAGTTGGCTTCAAATCGGAATTAAGTGGTTCACAAAGTGCCCTGAGAAACAGCAAATCAGGAAATTAAAAAAAAAAAAAAAAGCTGTACTGGACAGTTTGACAAGTGGTTGTGTCTGTGCTGTTTCAACAGCCCTCCCTTATTCCACCCCACTCCATTGATTATACACAGCCCAACAGCAGTTATAAATCAAAAAAGTAGAAACCCTATAAAATATAAGTTAACCAAAAATGAATAGGTACATAAAAATTTGTTTGGTGTTAGGAAAAGGAACTACACGATTAGAAACTACGCTACAGATGAGATTGACAGTACGTGTCTGTACATAAGGCCCTCATCTTTTCCTGTTCACCCAAAAACCTAAGGCCAGCCCCTGTGATGCAAGCAAGTGCCATCAGAGAGCAGATTAAAAAAAAAAAAAAATGTGATTTTGAAAAGGCAAAGCGAGACCTGGGGGAAAGATGCCCTTCGGCAGCCATAACGGCAACACCAAGTCAAAACAGGACCCTCCCACTACACACCCTTTCAACAGTGCTCAAAGCAGCAATCGGAAGAAAAAAAAAAAGAAAAAGGAAAAAAAGAAGCAGTGTGACAATTTGCACGACTAATAAGGAGAGTAAGGAGATCCATTGGAGAGTGGCAATTGGGTGGTGGTGGCGGGAGGAGGGAACGGGGGGTCAAGGTCATTTACAGTGGTTGGAAGGGTACATATTGGCGAATGGCAACTGGTACAAGTCAGAGTGACTATGATGAATAAGCAAAAGGGGGGAGGGGGGGATGTTGGTAGTAGTGGTGGCTTTGATTCAGTCTATAAGAAAGAAGGGGGGGGGTGTCGTCAAGAAAGGAGGCTAGATTGGTGAAGAGGGAACAATGTCTGTTTCCTCTTAAAGGCCAACGGGCGGGGTAAGGAAGATGCCACCTTAGAACCCCGCATCTGTCTGTCTTCATGTGGTCCATGTTAAGTGTGGCACACCCGTATCTCCTCCTCCTCCTCCCCTCACTGCAGCATCAGCTGCTTGAGGTTGTCATGCAGGATGGTGTCCTTCACGTCGCGAAAGACCAGGCGGATGTTCTCAGTGTTGATCGCGGTGGTGAAATGGTGGTATAAAGGCTTCTGCTGGTGCTCTCGCCGCTTTTTGCGAAAACATTCCACCAAGAAGGCCTGGACGTCTGCCAGGCTTTTGGGGTCGCCAGAGAACTCGCCAAAGTAGTCTTTGATGGATACCTGTTTCACCTTTTCCTCCAGCAGGTCCGTCTTGTTCAGGAACAAGATGATGGAGACGTTGATGAACACTCGGTTGTTGACGATGGTCTCGAAGATGTTGAGGGACTCGCTCAGTCGGTTGGTTTGCCGGTCTTCCATCAAAACCTGGAGATGCAAGCAGGCGTACATAGTTATTGAAGTTGACGGGTTATTGTGATGATGTTGGTGTGCGACAGAAGTGGACAATTGATTGTCCCAAGAGGCCACGCGAGAAACTGGAACAGCTGTTCCAGGCCACACCTCAGTTGTGTTCAATGTCATGTTTAATTTAAGAAAAAAAAAAATGTACAGCTTTCCCCTGAATATTTGAAGATTTTTTTCTTCTTGTAACATATCCCCAAGGGGTCACTGAAAAACTCACCGACAGTAGTTGCTGTTTTTGTGTTCAATCCAAAGCATGCAGAGGCGGTTTTACAGGATGGCAGCTGCCACCTTTCGTTTATCGAATTGTTTTGCCACCCCATTGGCAATGAATCTCTCAATACTAAATTCAAAATTTTATGAAAAATCTTCCTTATATTGTCTCTATAGCAGTGGTTCTTCACCTAAATAGAAGTACTGAGCCCAAGTGGTACATATTCGTCTGACCACTTTGTGGTGTTTTTTTTTTTTTTTTTTTTGCTCGACATAGTTGGCATGTATTAAAACATTCTAAAAAAAAAATAAAATCACACGACGGACTATCACGACAGTCACACATTGACTACTGTGCGAACTAAATTTCCCGCAGCACTGATCGGACAAGCAATGCAACATGATCATCTGCAGCCAATGATGGTCAAGCGGGCGTGTCATAACTAATTGACATGTTGAGTCGGGTGTGTCTTAACCTCCATGGCAGAAGCTCCGTCGAACCCCTGAGGCCGATTCACCGATCGCCTGGCGTTCGATCGAACCCAGGTTACAAACCACTGCTGTATAGTGTGTAGAAAAAGTGTGCTGAGAATTTACTCCCATTCCAACCCCCACTTCTTTGGTGGTGTGTGATCTACACACCACCAAAAGACATCACGTGACTGATATCTGTGTGCATGTTTTCGCAGCCATCCTGCCAACATAGTACCAACGGCAGGCGAAGGATTTACAGTGCAGAGAGGTGATAAAATTAGCATTTATCAGTCAACATTTTGTCCAAGTGAAGTCACATCTCACTTCGATGAAAGGAGATACAGATGCAAGCTGGACAGGTTGGATATTCCAGATCCCAAACATGTGGTTTTGACGACTACCACAACGGCAGATGGGGAGAACTAAAATGGCGAGTCCTTACGATCATACAAAGACTTGGGAAAGGCGATAAGTTTCGGTTACAGGCAGTCTGCACTTAAACTTGCATGACTTAATCTTTGTGACAAGCAACGTGGTGCTCGGTTTAAGTCCTGTTGTAGGCTCGTTGGGCATTCTGTTTCGGTGTCGCGGGTGGGCAGGTGAGGAGGAGATGACGGGTTCAGTGGCAGAGTTGATCACGGGACATCTCTGCCTCTCTATTGTCCCGCCTCCCTGACAGACCTGCGCCGATGAGTTGAATACTGACAGAGGCACGCAATGATTGGGCAGGGAATGGTCAGTGATGGACTTGTAGTGTGATGTCTTGCCCGGCCCAAGACACAGAACGATCTAATCTGGTCGTCACACAGCGCGATTGTTGTGAGTTTGAGAAGGTCACAAGGCAATTCTGTGTGGTCTTCTATCTGAGACCTTAACCCTTTTCATAATAACCCTGATTCTAATTTCCATTAACTTTTCTCTCTACTCGAAACATTTGCATGCATCCATCCCTCGGGAAAATCAACGATACAAAGCTAGAGAGTGATTAAGATTTGCTGATGCCAGCTTGCAAGAAAAAGCAGATGTTGACTTGACATGAGCAACAGCACATTTCATGCTCACCTTCTTTTGGTAATTTGTTATTGATTCAAAATGTGACCCAACTGTGAAATGTTGGCCAATGACTAATTAAGATTGATTTTTTTGGGGGGGTTGGTGTTGCTGTAAATTCAGCATAAATGAACATTGAGAGATATGCGTTGCATCAAAACATTCAGACTATCTGGACATGTACATGTTCCATTGGAACTTTAGACTCTTGATACATATAAACTGTGCCACTAAGGGCCAGCATAGTCAGTTTAATGCAACATGTGAGTACAAGTACATATGTTTCGTCCTAATTTTTAGAAAATGGCAGGCTTATTCAAACCAATCAGATATCAGGAAAATGACTCTGTTTTTGCTTAGCTTTAACCACAGTAAAACAGAAAGAGGCTGGAATTAGGCATGCATCCTTTGCCACAGCCTTTTGTTTCGACTTTTCTGTTCACACACTAAAGACAAGTTCCTGGAACGACAAGTCTCTAACTCAGCTTTTTTTATGTGTGGAGCTGTGAGAATGCAGCCTTGAATTTTAATGCTGCTTGGTATATTTTTGGCTCACTAAAGTGGAAGATACATAGGAACCTCTACATTGAGATGTTGAACCTGAGGTCATCTATTTTTCTATTCGGATACCAACTATCCAGTTGAGTGCTAAGGGGGAGCTTGGAGCTTATCCGAGCTGACAAGAGACAAGCAATCATTCACATTCGCATTAACATAGTCACACTGCCAGCAAGGAAGGCTGGCGAGTGAGCCATTACTCCAACACAATCAGTGAGCCCACCAATAGTTAGGTCACCATAATGATTTGGGAGCACAGTGGCTCCCACTGTGCTCCACCACTACTTTACTTACTTTACTTTGCTTCATTCTGTTTGTTGCTCAGCACTGCACATATGCTGCATGACAGGTGTTGTTCCCCTTCAAGTCAGTGCAGTGGTACCTCTACTTACGAACGTCTCTTCATACGAAATGTTCAAGTTCCAAAACGCCTCAATGGGAAAATATTGCCTCGTGTTCCGAAAGAAATTTCAAGATACGAAAGGTAAAAATACGGTATGGTCTGCTACTTGCAGCTCCGGGTTTTCTGAACGCAACATGGCGATTACAGAGCATCTTCCTGGCATCCCATTGGCTAAGAGGAACCTATACCGTATGTGTCTATGTTTTTTATATTATGCACAACTCTCATTGATTGTTCAATAATCTAACTAATCTAATGTATTTGTTACATATTTTGATGCATTTTTATGCATCAAAAAACTAATAATTGTTCAATTTAACAATAATTTTTCAAAAAACTACAACAAAATAAATTTTAAACTAATGAGACAAAGTGGATGGAATCAAAATAAAGGCGTAGCATTTTACAATTCATAAAAAGGGTGTAATGATATATCTATTTAATCCGCCGCTCATTCCTACCGACTGCTGTCAGGCTGCTAAATAAAAAATAAAATACGTGAAAAATCAGTAACAATTGTAAACAGCACAGCCACCTTATAGCAGTTGCATATATGCTTAAATATATCTATATCTATATTTATATTGCACTTATACTGAACTGTGTACAGCTCTCGTTATCTACATTTATTTTTGTGCTTGCAAACACTTTGTTTTTCTTCTTTCTACCCCCCAAATTTGCTGCTGTAGACTGTCCCCAGTGTGGGACAAATAAAGGATATCTTAATCGATGTGCCTACCCCGCGAGCCAACTACATTGACGAGTGCTGGACTTGTTTTCTGTCGATGCTGGCCATGCATCGACACATTTTTATAAGTTACTGAAGTTATTATAAACAGCAACACAGGAATAAGAAGCAATTTTTATCCTTTAGACCAGGGGCCCCCAACCTTTTTTGCCCCACGGACCGGTTTATGTCAGACAATATTTTCAGGGACTGGCATTTAAGGTGTGGTGGAGTTAATACAACAAAATAATATGGTATGAGCTGCATGAAAACGGTGGCGTTTTCGAAATATAATAATAAACACAGGAGCGTCTAATCTGGCCGCAACACTCCGATTGCTATGGCAATGTTTAATGTCTTCAAAATACGATACAACGCAAATTCAAAGTGCATGAAAATGACGACTCACCACAGCACCGAGCTTGATTTTCTGCAACCAGACGGTCCCATCTCGGGGTAATAGGAGACAATGACACCTCAAGTGTGTGGTTTATGTCCAGTCTACTTCGTAATTTTGTTGTAGTCGCCGTTGCTGCAGAAACCCCCCGCCTCACACATGTAGGATGTCGGAAATAGCAACAGTGCTATTGTGGCGATCTCAGAGTATTCAGCCATAACTTTAATCCAGTTGTCTCGAACGTACTTTTAAGGCCGCCGTCATTTACGATCTCCAGCAGTTTTTTTCCCTCATTTTGCGAGCTCCTGCGTTTTGAAGTAATCGGTCACGTGATGGAGAAGCGTGGCTTGACGCGTGTCAAGCGTGACACAGACGGATGTAACGGAGAATCCGGTAGTTTATCAAAAAAAAAAAAACATGACACAGACGGATGTAATGGAGAATCCGGTAGTTTATCAAAAAAAAAAAAAAAAACGTGTTTCGTATTCCGAAATAAAAAAACGGAATTAAGGCAAGTTCTTTCTGTGCGGCCCGGTACCAAATGCCGGCGGTTGGGGACCCCTGCTTTAGAAATTATGTTTTTTTGGGAAGCTGGGATAGATGAATTGAGATACTAGTGTTTTGAGTTACAAGCATGGTCAAGGAACAAATTAAACTTGTATCTCACATACTGCAGTTATTTGTTTTTGTCTCTCAAAAATAGTTAACTTCATATTAAACCTGGCAGTTGATAATGACAACGGTAAAATGTTTGACTGAGCTTGACTCTGGAACATATCTCTAATTTTCAAAATAACGTATTTCCTGCACCATAAGGCGCTATAAGATGCTCCTTCCATGAATGGCCTATTTTAAAACTGCATTATAAGGCGCATAGAAGTGATAAAAGTGGCTGCGGTAGCGCTATGCATCCATTTTGTGGTGCTACTCTAAAGGAAATACCATACAATACAATATCGCTTTATGTATATAGAGCCTTCACAACCGCTGTAGCTGTAACAATGAGAACTGGTCACAAACACGGACATGAAACATATTATGGAATTACAAAACAATAAATGAAAGACAAAAGTTATGAAGACAATTGATTCAACAAAAAGGCACACAAACCTCATAGGCTCAGATCCATAAGGGGCTAAATATCCTTACAAGTCTTGCTTGTCTCCTTCTTCCTTCGTTTAGTCAGTAATTAACTATGCTTTTGGTATTATCTTTGTTTCATAATGGCTGCCCATAGCTCACAAAACAGAGATGAAAGTGGACTTTCCTAAAAATTCCGGAAAAATTTACATGCATATATATATATATATATATATATGCATGTACACTATCGGTAA